CGATATTTCATTCCTACATTGTGACCCGGAATTTTTTCTTTGCGTCTTATGATTTTTACGGGCCAAAAATTTTTTATCAATAAAGTAAGAAGCAAAAAAAAAAAAAAAAACAATATATTCGGCTAATAAATAAAACTGCAATAAGAAATAAATAAAATTCTTAATTCTCACTTTTTTTTTAATGGACAAAAGCAACAGGTGATATTTTCGAATAAATTAAACAAGTATTTTCTTAATTCATATATAATTACTTAAAAAAAAAAAAAAAAAATTTTATTCACATTTCCTCCTTAGAAATCAAAGAGATTTGTTTTTGATTAGATTTTTGATTTCTGTGGAAATACCAAAAATGGCTTGAAACAAAGAGTTGGGGAATATTAGACTTTATTCCTTGTGTAAGGATATATCCTTTTTAATAATAAAGCTAGCTTAGGATCCTTTAAACTAAATGGTTGACTTCCCAAAATTGGTAATCATAAAATTAATCAGATTTTTTGGATTGTAACGAACCCGATAAGGTCACGACATGTCAGATTAATTGAAAGAATCGAAAAAAAATCAGGTTTATTATTTTATTTTATATAGTTAAATAGACATATCATCATTTTTTACAATATGGAAAACTGTAAAAGGAGGTACCGCAGTACACAATATAAAATTTATTAAATTAAAAACAATTAATTAAAGATCAGATCAACATCATGTTAAAAGAACGAATGATGGAGCGCAGCTATTTTTAACAAACTTGGTACATAATCTAAAAGAAATCTCCAAAGGGGTTTTTGAAAAGAATTTTTTTAAAAAGAACACTTATTTTTAATATGGGAAAATTATAATATAACTAGGCTTTTTGAAGCAAACAATTCGCCATTTGTAAGAAATCCTCGTGAGTTTGATCAGAGCTATTTCTTGTTTTTTTTTTTTTGTAATACATTTCAGGTATGGGTTATCTTTTTTATATTTTTTATCTTTAAGGGTAAAATTGTTCCCGATTTAGAGAAACATTCATTTGGTAATGAGAATTAGTGCGTTTCATTTTTAGACAAAAAATTTTTATCTTTCTCTAATTTTAAGGAAATGATTCCACATTTGATCTAGTGGTGTGATGAAAACGCATTTCGAAAAATTTGCAAGGTAATTAGCGGGCGTGACGGCTAGCTAAATACAGATCCATGTGAAATATATAACCAGAAGGTTCCGTCATGAGCGCCTCAAACGAGAAAAAATACTGGTTTTCGCCTTAAATTTTAATGTTTACCAAAACAAAAGGGAGCATAATAATCTTGGAATTCCCATAATTCACACGCGTTCTCTTAGCCCAAATCATCTGATAATGTGGGGAACCGGATTATATAATAGTTTAGTTTATCGGGAAAGGTGCCAAAGGGATTGCCCTTGGAATGTTCGAGAAGACATCGGTTAATGGAAATCTTCACGGTACGATACATGATCTAAATGACGGTTATGATGTCATGGCACTCACAGCGATCCGAAGGGTTCAAGGTCAAAAAAGACATAGTCCCATATAAAAAAGGGAGAATGACAAAGCAAGTCACTTTTTTAATAATGTGAAAACTTCATAGTAAAAAAAGAATTCTCTTGATCGGATCCCAGAAAGGATAAAGCGTGGACCAATTAAGCATGAGTATGAAAAGGTCACAACAAATTTTCTATATAGATTTTTTAATTCTTGCAAATATTTATAGACTGTCAGAAAGTTTTGAGCTCGCTTTTTCACACTTCAAAAAATTTTTAATTCTTCCGTTATACGTCATAGAAATCTTCGTTTCTTGTTTTTTCACGTGATACGAGGATTTCTATGTTGTCAGTCCATTACAATCATAGCTCAAAACTCTATTTATTTGTACATAAAATTGTGTTTCAGGTATGAAAACTTGATTGCCAAAATTCGGTAAACTATTGAAACTATGTTGAACATCCACCGATCATGCATGCATAAAAGAAATTCATAAAATGATGGGAAATTGTCTCTTGTATTTCCTACTGCGGATGCACACTCAGATCACAGGATTTGCCACGTACCACAAAAACTCAAAAAACATTTTCGTTCACACGCGATTTCCCTTTTGACATTTGTAATCCGCATTAAATCTTCGAATAATTGTCTTCACACATAATTTCCTTTTCAAACATTATTGTCATCTGCACACCCACCGCCCGCAACTTACAATATTGGAAAAACCATGTAATAAGAAAATCCATCAATTTTCTATTGTTTGGGGCAAAAAAAAAAAAATAAAAAGTCCTCATAACAAAGCCAAGCCTATGAGAATTTTATAGTTCTTGAACCAACCTGTTGCGTTCTCTTTCATACTATCACCATTAGACAATACCCTTCGGATATAATAAATTTGTCATAATTGTACAAATCATACTATTATAAAATAATCCATCGGGAAGGGAAAATTTTAAGAGTAATTGAAAAAAAAAGGGACTTCAAAAACCTTATTAGGTAAGATTCCGATTTAGAATTCAAGTTCATGGGATTTATGCGGGGTTGTTTTAATTTGGGCAAGGTCGGCGTTATTTGTTGAACAATTAAATGTACGATTTGGTCATCAAACAGGTTTGCCATTTCAAATATTCATTCCTCAACAAATATCTATACTAGTATGAAACGCATTGTATTTGGAATCATGATTATTATTATTATCTTTTCCCTTCTTAAGTTTGGTTGTGTTATAATGTGAAAAAAAAAAAAATCAGTTTTTCTTTGTCTATGACCCCCATAGACAAATCCTAATTAAGATGTTCTTAACTTAATATTCTCTCATAAATTTTTAATGATTACCTTGCATGTAGGTCTAGATAAAGTAAACCGTATTACAAGATTAAATAAAAAAAAAATAAAAATAATTGTATTTCAACTATTTAATTTTTTAACTAGAAAATTTTCTGTGCTATGTGAGAAAAAAAAAAAAAATACATTGATGCTTGTTTATCTCAAATGATACTGTTTGTTTGTCTCTCACAAATGATGATCTTTTACACTTTCATCAACATGTGTGATGCATAAGAATTCCTATTTATTTTCCGGATTATTTAACCGTAACTACAAACCTTAAAAACATAACACGATAGTGATGTCCTTAAAAGTAAATAATTTATTCAGGAAATAACTCGTTCAAAACGTTTTTTTTTTTTGTTTTCCTTACTTACGACGCCATTGGTAAACGCCTCATGAAATATACACAGCCAAGATGGCACCTGGCTGCCGCACCGCAGTCTCAAAAGTTGAACATTTCGGCAACGATCAATTGATCCGGTTCGATATACCCGGCTGACAAATCAACCTTGCGAGTACAAAATGAGTGACATTTTTGGGACCATATCGGTTTATTTTTGGAGAACCGAGCATTCTCTCGTGTCCTTCACCTTTGAAAGACTTTTGTGGTAAAGCATTTTGATAAATTAACCTACGAGATCCGAATATGTTTATTTATTTTTACTATGAAATCAGCATAAAGTAAGCGATTAATGTGATGATTAGGTGGTCAGTGTTTTTTTCATTAACGATGATGATTATTGTGTAACGGTATTGTTTATTTACTTAAATTATACTAGTTTGAAAATAAAATCTAAAAATACCTGTCAATCTAAAAAGGTTCAATCCAGATCACACCTTTTTGTATTAACGTATTATCACATTTTTCCTATTTTTACCCCCACCAACAACCATTAACTCCGGAACTCCGACTTCAGTATTGTAGGTGAGTAGATTGTGAGAGAGGAGAGAAAGAAAGAAATGGTAAGGATTTGAAAAAAAAAAAAAAAAAAAAAAAAAAAAAAAAGTTTGTTTCTCGGGTATTCTATTTGTATGCGGTCAGAATTTCGTCTCACCAAATTTAGAATTTGATTTATAAATGATTTGCAATTGATTTTTAACTTTTTTTGAAATTACCGCAAAATTTTTGATATTGCACACACACACACCTTTTTTTAATATCAAAAATAGTAAATATCAACATGCACTACAAGATAAAAGCCAATCTACCTTTAATTGATTTCCAACGAATTTTTTAAATGTCTCTATTTTTTTTTTTTTTTTTATATCATCATTATTTTATTTTTTTTATTGTTTATTTTTTTTTATTTTTATTTTATTTTATTTTATTTTTTATTTATTTATTTTATTTTTTTTTTTTTTTTTCATTATATAATTACTTATTTATATTTCATAAAAAAAAAATAAAATAAAATAATATAAAATAAAAATAAAAACAAATCCTTCCCTTCCTTTGCCGAAATCTTTTCACTTGTCACTTGAAAATTTTGACATTATGATTAAATAGATTGGACCTAACACAAGTGTAGTTGGTAAGAATACTAAATTTATACATTTGGATCAAGTTTTCAATGTTCCCTTTAGCGAAAGTTTCCGATTATAGGATGACAATTAGATTGTCTTTCTAAGTAGTTCAGTTGCAAATTGTAAGAAAATATTTATAGCCCAAACTTCCCTAATTTGGACAAATTTTGAAATTTGTTTAAGCGCTATAAATAGAAATAAAAACAATTTTATACAATAAGTTAAAAATTTCCCTGTCCAAGTTATCAACTAAATGAAAACCCAAAAAAACAAAAACGTAATCAATATAATAATTTATTCGTTGATTGGAATTTTAAAGTACGAACCAATCAGATTTTCTAACATATGAAATATTTTGGATATAAAATCAATATTTGCAGCACGTCAGATTCAAGAGACGGAAAAAAAAATTTTTTTTTCATCTCTCGTAACGTTTGTTTTATTTTATTTTATTTTTTTTTGTTTTTCCCCCTTTTTTTTTTAATGAGCTATAAGTATCACCCTTAATCAACCTTTTTAACGCTTTCGTGCTAAGAAAAAAAAAAAAAAAAAAAAATTAAATTATAAAATTAAATTAAATTTCATTTTATTTTTTATTCCTAACAGTCAAGTTCAAATATTTTCCTTTTATTTTTTTTTTTTAAAAAAAAAAAACAAACATTTAAGCAAGATGACTCAAAATAAGAAAGCTTCAAAACGATCTTCGGATGCTCAAACAAAGATTCGTACCATGAGACAAGGTCAACAAAAGATCAAACTTGATATTAAGAAACCTTCACCTTCTTTGCCTCCATTGCCACTTCCCTTTCCGCCCACTCAAAAAGTTGAACAAATCGTAACAAAACTCGTCGCGAAACCGAGATTAGCAAGATTCCCCAATGCATTCATCATGTATCGTAATGAGTACGTTTTATTCCTGAAATCGAAAAATTATCACATTTCCATGACCGAGTTATCTCCAATGATTTCAACCTCTTGGAAGAAAGAACCGGAGTATGTTAAAGAGACCTACACGAAACTTTCAAGTGATGCGGAGAAAATGTACGTTCGTGAGACTGGGAACACCCAACCACAGATCAACTATAAATATTTGCCAACTCAACGTCCCACGTTGAAGGAATATTCTTCAAAACTCGAACCCGAAATTTCGGTTCCTAAATTAAACGAGACTCATCAACCTCAACTAAATGCCTCGAATTATGACTTCTTTAATGATTTTAATATTTATGATCGTTTACTTCAATCCTTTTCGATTTCTGCTCCGAACGCATTTCAACGAAATTTTACAAAAGAACCCCCCGTGAATGGTGGCGATATAGCCCCCTTTTCCATTGGTACAACGTCTGAGCTCGCCAAATATTCCCTTGAACATTCTTCCCTTTCATCGGCAAAGATTGATAACCCGATCGTGCATCAAGATAATTGTTTCGCTACGGATCCAAATTTTTTCCCCTGGACCCAAAACATTTCTCCCTCGATTCATGACGATCTTTCAAATATTCGTTCCCCAACCCACCTTCCACAAACCCCACATTGCTATAGTCCATCATATTCCCCGACTTCACCTTTGGAAGACTTGATGAACTCCCCAGGCCTCATCGGTTTGGACTCTCAAATTTTGGAATCAATGGAATCAATGTCACCTTGTTCAACTTCTTCGTCACCTTCTGATGCTTCTTCATTTGATGATATTTCTTCTCTATTATTCTCGTCAGAACTTGATGAAAATAGATTCTTTGAGAAAGCTGGATTCGCCGCTCCAGCTTATCCCACAGAATCCATAAATGCTCAAACTTCACTTCAGTCTTCCGACTTATATCATTTATATTCCGGACAATCATTTGCAACTCCTTCAACAGTTTTTAACGATAAAATTTAAAGAAAAAAAAACATTATTATATTAGATAGATAATCTCGTGTTGAAATGGAATTCTTGAAATTTTTTCTTATTATAATTACGTATCTCTTTTCATACTTTTTATTCATATTAATGTTGGTGGACTTTATTTTTTTTGACAAAAAAAAAAAGTAAAAGACATTCCTCAGCAAATTTTTCTTGACGACTTTAAAGTACAAAAATCAAAGTAACCAATTTCAACATACGTAAAAGTAACATAGAAATTATCAGATTTTTCAAGTGATAGAATCTCGTTAGTCGAGGAATTTAATTTGATCATAGATAAACGAAAGATTTAATTGACCAATGAATAATAATTTCAAAGAAGAACGTGTTTTTTTTTCTTAGGATTGTAATCGAAAAGATAAAAAAAAAAAGAGAAAATAAGACTCAATCTTTCTTTTTTTTCTCTTCTTTTTTCTTTTATTAATTTTCACCTAGCCTATTCCTTATCTTTTATTTTTATGTAATATAGTTAAGAATCAAATTCTTTCTTGTATAAATTATAATCTTTTATTTCGTATATATTTTATTTCAATTCAAACCACAAAATTTTACTCTATTTTTTTTTTTTTTCCTCTGAACTGTAACTTTTTCACCTTTTTTTTTTTTGTAAATAAAATAAAATAATTTCGCAAGATAAATTTTTTTTTTTTTTTATAATGAGATACCTAACCATATCTAAACATTCAAACTTAATAGTTTCTAAACTGGGCTAAAACTCTAGTAAAAGGTTTCATTAGTGAGGCTACAAAATCATGACATGCTCATGCGTGGTTTTTTTATTGTTTCAGCCAAATAGAATTAGTTACGGCTGGCTTACCTTTGATTCCACGAGAAAAAGGAAATTTCTGCTGGTTACAAAGAAAAGTTATGCAGTTATAATTTTATGACGTTATAACTTTGTAAAATATCACATGGGAAGTTTAAAAAAATTTTTTAAAGATTTTTATTTTATTTTTTTCTGTTTTTAAAGTTCGATTGAATCTCACATAAGCTTTATTTTATTTTAACTTGCAGATCAAAAACACAATTGCAAAGCTTCACGTTATCCCCCTTTAAAATTTTCTTTCTTTTGAACGAATTTCTTTTTTTTTTAAAAAAAAAAAAAAAATATCGAAGAAAAAAAAAAAGACTTGTCGTCACACCAAAAACGGGGTCACCCCATCATCATAAATCCATTAATGGAAAATATTTAATTATTGGCGAAAGAAAGTGGAAAAGAAGGATTTAATTCCATTAAGATGATCTAATTCATCTAATTCCGGGTTCAAAGAGAACTCGAGATGATCATAAGAGATTTCTGGATCTCTGATTCGAATTAATTTTTTAAAAGGTGTCACTTCACAATTAATACGATAAAGGAAAGCGATGACGGCTTCGTTCAAGTATAGAAGGAATACTATTAAAAGGGAAGGTGGTATGTATGGTATGTATGATATGTTTATCATTGGTTATTTTTAGCTTCTTTATTTATTTATTTTAGATTATTCTTAGAGGAATAAAAATGAATGACCGACAATTGATGTAATCTTTTCTTATATGAAAGCAATATTTTTCAAAACGCTTCTTTACAACGTACTTTGAAAAATATAACGCGTCACAAGATGATTATTGATGGACGAATAATTTAATCCGGAAGTCCAACTCCGAAAAAAAAAAAAAAAATTTTTATTAACAAAACATTCGCGGATTCACACAAAATTAGAATTGAATTCATAAAAAGCTGAAAATGTGTGGCATTGCTCTCTTGATCTACCACAAAAGGAAGTTTGGGTATACTTGAAGTTTTTGTTCATGTGGTGTAGTATGTATTTATTATTTATTTGGTTTTGTTATATATATATATTTTTTTTTTAACAAAATAAAAAAATTTTTTAACATATTCTTGTTAAAGTTTAAATAGAAAGTTGTTTTTAGTTTCTGGAATTCTTTTTTTTTTATTTTTAGTTGAAACTTTTTTAATTTTAGATCTTTTCTTTTCATTTTCCTCGCAAAATATTTCATTAGGCACTACTTATTGAAAATAAAGTTATTTTTAATCTCGATCGACAAGGTCAAACTCAGTAAATGAAGTTGCATTTGCATTTAAGAACAATTATATTGTTTAAAATTTCCCGTGTTAGGGTCCGAAAAAAAAAAAAAAAATCTTGGGCTGCAATTTTTTTTTTTTTGTTTATTTATTTAAACATCTAAAAATAGACAAATGAAAAACGTTAGGGTTAAAAATATCTCGTCGATTCTCACAGAATAATAATAGATAAAAATAATTTCATAGACGAGTGTTTTTTTCTACCTCTTAACGTTAAAAAAGAATCTTTGCCCGTGAAGTCGTGTTACCGTCATGTGAGAGGAAAAATTTTAAATTTTAAAAAAAGACTACATGACACTTTTCTTCTTTTTTTTCCTCCTCCTTTTTTGCCTTGTTTGTTGATTGTTGATTTTTTCGTGTCACATTGTAAACTTCTCTAGCCCGTGTAATCTAACCGGGCATTAATTTATTTAGCTTATAAAATGTGAATCATTTTTGGAGGGAAATTAATGTAATTAATGTAAATAACAAATGTGTTATGGTTCGGAACTGCTCTGGTACAGGTTTCATTTGTTTATGTGGCTTATTAATTACAAGGTGGCTTCAACCCTTCGATCAAATGATCTAAAGGGAAGTCTTATTTAACGATTGGTACATTTCAGAAAACATGGGGGGTTTTTTTAAAAAAGAAAAAGCCTACATTTCGATCGAACCGTTAATTAAATGAGGAATTTAATTCTATTAAATGAATGATAATCGCATCATCGCAAATGATGTAAAGATTTTTGGTTAAACCCTTGTCTAATTTTGGTTATAAACAAAACACCGAATGGTTTATATTGGGCCCAATCCTGATGTCCTTAGTCACCATTTTCCAATGATATTACGCGATAAACCGTTCCATGTCGGTTTTGGTCCAGTTTTATTTTTATCGTGATGAAAATCTATTTTTAAAAATAGGGTTTTTGTGAGACGGAATCGGTTCAAGGAACTTACTAAAAATATTCGCGTTAAGGACAATTTTTTTTTTTCCTTTTGTTTACATAATAAGTCTTAAATTAATATTTAATGAATTTTTTTTTTCTTATCTTTTAGATTTCGCCCAATTTTTCAATTAAAATCTTTTTTTTTTTTTTTTTTTTTTTCCATTAAGCATTACCCTATCCTTTGTTGGGATATATTGATTTTTATGGATTTTGTCGGTCGAAAAAAGGAATGATTTGTCATGAATGGATTACTCATTGTCAACGTTGGAATGATAACCACAATAAAACCTTTTTCAATGAAATTCTGTTGCAAGTATATTTTTAGTAATTTTAGATTTCAGAACCTTTTTTGAGATTATGATTAAACAACTGGTTTATGTAAATAAAAAAAAACAAATACTTACCTTGCCGAAACTTTAAAAAAAAAAACCGCCGAATACCTTTAAAATCATTTTGTATAAAAACATTTGATTGTAATCCTTATCACAATTCCTCATCGCTCGATGCGTACGTAATAATTGATGGCGCGTTTTTTTTTTTTTGCGGTTGAAATGACGTGTAATAGGAATTTTATGTTATGGTTTAATGCTTGTTTTTGACCGAAAAAAGGTTCCTTTGCGGGCGACAAATAAAAAAAAACGATCCAATAGGATACATGATAAGATAATGACCAATCTCGTCTTTTAAAATTTTTTAGCCGTCAAAAAAGGGTTTGTAATTCTATTTTCGGTGCATCTTGAAAATAATGTACAATTAGCATCGCGACTTTTCATCATAATTTGTCAAACGTTATCCTTTCGTTTATTCGAAATCTGATAAGTAACGCTTTAATACTTTGGTCTGCCTTTTTTTGCATCCACCAAACGATAAAAATAACCTTTTTATAAATAAATTTGCACGAAAATAATCCATTCCGCCAAATTTTAAATTTGGAGTATTCAACTTCATTTATTATAACGAACGGACCATCCGTAATTTATCAATTAAAAACGCGTTATAAAAAAGTCTTATATATTATATAATGTAAAATGTCTCGTGCAAAATTTTTGACCTCGATATACCGACCGATAATATCAAAAATTCGATATAACGATAATATTTTCCCACCATATAAGAGAACAAATATATTAAATATAATTTGGATACAACGTTATTTTTTCAAGATTTTCATATGAATCCGGACTCATCGTTCTATCCTTAATTCCTATTCGTGACTGCAAGATTAACAGCTTCCAATTATATAATAATGATCGATCATTTGATACTTGATTGAATTCCAGACTCTTACACCCAACTTTTGCAAATTTTTTGAGATAGTTCCAAAGGATTCTCGCAACGCCAATTATTTAATTTCATAAGAATTCCTTTATCGTTGTCTTCTCTAGAAGCATTGATAATCCTTTACCCGTTTATGAAAAAAAGGGCAATTTGGATTGAATATTCAGATTAATTCTATGAAATTCACGTTCCTTCTGTACATGCTTTACTTTTTTTAACTATTCATTTATTCTCCTAGTACATCAAACAACTTTTCTTTATTGACCTTAATAAAGACTAGTTTGTGGTATAAAACACAAATCCTACCATTTGTTTTGATGCGGGAAAATCAGGGGCCATGGTTTGTAATTTAAATAATTTCTATTTATCATCTCATAAAGGTCTTTTGTTGAACATTTTTCACTTTCAGGTTCTTAAATCACCATTTAACGTAAAAGAATGTGGTTCCCTCATATATAATGTCCACAGTTATTTTTCCCAAGATAAAAAAAAAATAAAATGGAAAGTTAATTGGTAAATAGCTTTTGCCAAAAAAAAACTCTGCAACATACTCGTAATCTTTATAAAATGTTCCAAACCGTTGACTTTTGGAGAAAGTAATGGTTCAATGATGAGTACTTTTATAATTTGTTATTTTCTTCTCGGACTTTGTTCAAATGGTATTCCTGCCATTACCGAAAAGAATTTATCGAGAATGCTAAAAAGAAAAGCAAAAGAAAAAATAAAAATAAAAAAAAAAATTTATAAATGCGTGAATGAAATAAACATTTTTGTAAAAAAAAAAAAAAAAAATAAAAAAAAAAAAAATATCGTTTTTTTTTTCATATATTTTAAAAAGGAACTTATAATAATAAAGTCCGACGATTTGAAAAATTCCGGATTAACCGGATTAGGAATCTAATGTTCAAATGTGCAACAAAAGTTAACCAGTTAAAGTAAGTTTAATTTAACAATAGGATATAAAAAATTGAATGAAACATGAACTAAAAATAATCATCACATCCATTTCTTAATTCAAAAAATCAAAAAATGGCTTTTAATTTACCGCCAGAAACGTTACAGAAAATCTTTGATTATATAAATGATGATGACTTTAACACATTTCAATCCCTAATATTAGTTAACCGAGACTGGTGTCAAAATAGTATTATGCTGCTTTGGAAAAAACCTTTTCACAATAAACTTCGATTTAAAAATCTTTACAAAATCATTTCAGTCATCCTTGCATTCCTTGATGATGAAAGGAAACAATATTTGAACATTACCGACGCAAGGCTTGAAATTCAAGCAAAGGTTTTATTCGATTACCCTTCATTTATAAAAGAGTTAAATTTTAAAGCTATCGTGTTCTTGCTTAAAGAATGGATTAATAGAAAGGAGAAGATTCGACCAATACTAGCTCCTGATTATTTCACTACTCATGAAAAAGAATACATAGCAAAGTTTAATGATTATAAGTATATGGAAGTGATCACTCCCAAAGCGCTCTTCATAAATCAAGAGAGGATCGCATTTGTTGATGCAATTTATCATGTAATTTCTAGGAATAATAATGCATTAAAATCTTTGATTTTGGATAAACCCTATATGGTTATGTATGATATGTTTAAACCATTCTATCAGGAAATCATATCCTCGAATCCAGGTTTTCTTAATCAATTGGAACTGATTAATTTTTATTATGATAGGAATTGTCCAGAAATATTAGAAGAATTCTCAAAGATAACAAACAACCTTAAATCAATTCACATCGGATTTCAATACCATATATCCGATTGTATGGGGGAGGATGGGTTAATACAGTTCATTAAGTCACAAAATAACCTTGAGCACGTGGCCCTTGATGGTTATGAAGGAAGCAGACTTGCGGACATTCATAATTCCTTAATTACTCAAGCTCATTCTTTAAGAACATTCAAAATATGGTTTACTGATATTGATCTTAATTGCTTGAATTTCTTGGGAGAATGTCAAAATCTTGAAGAATTGGAATTCGGATGCATTGATTTTTATTCCGTGTATGAAGGGAATTTTCCTAAATTAAAAAAATTAAAAATTTATGATCCTTATTTTATTGATCATGAAATTAACCATTCAATACCCTTATCATTAATCACTAACGTTGGTAAATATTTAAGCAAATGCGTTTTCATGGTGGATTCCGAACATTCATTAAGTCTCATTCAAACGATAGCAACCTCTTGTCCGAATCTTGTGTCGTTAACATTCAGGATTCAATCTCGAAATGAGTTGGATGAATTGATTAAACACTTTGATGATAAATTTCAAAAATTGGAAGTTCTTAAAATTTGCAACTATTTTGGGGATGATGATGAGTATTGGATGATAGATGAATGTATTAGAGAATTCTTTCTAAAGATTCCTAAGAATGTTCGTAAACTTGACATTTCCAAGTGGGTGATTAACATCAAATTGTTGGAAGATTATTTACATTGTATTAAAAGACCTTTGAAAAAATTTCAATTTACTTTTCATGGTGAAATTCATGAAATAGGGAACCTTGTTAAAAAATTTTCAATAGAAAAAAGTTGGTCGATAAAAGGGGTTGCTCCCACTTCGAGATTCTATTATTGTCATATAATAAAAATAGAATGGGATTGAAATAATTTTTTTTTATTTTTTATTTTTTTTTGGTTTTTTTTTCATAAAGTTGTAACATCTTTAAATTAAATTTATTATACAGTCACATTACGCGAGAACACGATTAAATCATAATTATCTAATTTGCACCTTTCATAATAATATATTTATTAAATTGGTATACGTTCAAATTCCAAATTTTCGTTTATTTTTGAAATTTACTTTTACATCGGGAGTAAAATGAAAAAATAATTAAGCCATATTCAGTATTAGAATTTTTTTTTTGAACTAGTACTATCACGTCGTCTCAAATGTTCCACAAAGATTGTTTTATAAAACCTGATGCATTTTGTCGCGAAATTACTTGCTCCATAAACAATGATTACTGAATTGTTATAAAGAATATATTGTTGAATATTATGTGGGTTAATTGCTAGGAAAATCAGGTTCCGGGAATTTTGAGATTTTTATTAAAATGCATTAACTCTCAAAAATTTCTCGGAACCTGATTTTCCTAGAAATCTTCCCATGTGATTATTGATATATACTACTCAAAAAAATAACAAAAAATAACAATAACTATTCGTATAAATTTTGCCTGCATTATTTGTACAACCCTTTCACCATATTTACTTTTTTTCATAGATGTTTTGAGATTTCTACAACGATCACGCGCTTTATTATATCATATTAATGATTTGTTTTAATAAGCATTTAACAAAAAGTTATGTTGTGAAACAAATAAATGAAAACTTTGATATGATCGAAACGAAAGATTATAGTTACTTCATTCATCAGCTCTTCTGATAGGATCTATCAATTCAAAAAAAAAAAACTTAATATAATAACATTATCATTGTAATACTACTTTATTCGAGTCAAGTATTGATTTTGTGAGTTATTGACTGAAACACGTATAAAAATGCTCCAAATCATCTTTATCACACGATTGTATTTGTATTTTAATTGATTAAGGCGCATAAAGTTAAATTTGTATTTTAGTACACAATATGAAATTTATATTGATATATAAATTTACAAGAATTTTTTATGACAGTATTTCTTATTAACAAAACCACGAAATTTGAACAAAATAATTTTAACGCTTTTATCTTTTATTTAAATTCGTTTTATTTTACAAATTTACAAAGTTACACCCTTCAAATAATCATTTTACATAAAGCCTTTTAATTTAAAATACACTTTTACCTTATTGAATCAAAGAATGAATTTGTAATTAATTGTGTAGTATCAGGTCTTTCGTTGCCAGTTTCAGCTACCATCCACTTGACTAAAATAGAGACTCGTTTATCTTCAATGCTTTCAGAAACTTTGGTTAAATTTAATTGTTCCAAATCTTTTTCGGTTGTAAATATTAAATTTTTTGTATTTAAATAGTATAATATACAACCTAAACTAAAAATATCTAAACTTGACAGACAATGTAAATAAGAAGATTGAGAGGTGTAAGGGGTGTTGGATGAAGAAGAAGAATATGATGAAGGTAGTGAGGAAGGAACGGGTTGCTGTCTTTGAAGATAAAATAATTCTGGAGACGTAAATCCTATTATGAATGCCTGATTATGGTGAGAATAAATTTTATCCCCAACCTTTTTTGCATGTTCAAAGTCACATAAACGTATCCTATGAATAAGACTATCTTTGCATATAATATTCGATGGGTTTAAATCCATGTGCTATAAAAAAAGTAATTGCAGTATAAATATGTAAATATGAAAATTAAAGGAAATAGGTCAAAATTTAATTTTGCTTACCACTACTCCATTCTTATGACACCAATCCACAGCTAAACAAATGTTATAAAATACCTTTTTTATATATTCCTTATTGTCATATATATCTCCTGCTACTTCATCCAAAGGTTTTCCATAATACTTGGTAACAATTAAACAATCTTGTTCGTTGATTGGATTGATACTTACATCTTCCAACTTTACGATTAGTTTCGACTTGAGTTCTTTCAAAAAGCGCCTTTCATTTTCCCATCTTGAATGAGATTTATATTGTTTAATTATAACCTGATCACTAGTAAACTTATGTTGACCAAGGTATACTTTATTATGTGAAGTTGTTGCTCTTTGCAACGGAGAAATTATTTCAAATCTATTAAATATAATTTGCGAATTATTGATTTGAAACGTGGAAGGATTAAATCCAAATGTAAGATTGTGAGGCAATTGTTGTTGAAAATTCTGTTGAGTAAACATTTTTGGTTCTAAAGGAATTTCTTTATGCTCACAATATTGAGATCCCACACTAACAGGCGGAGAATTTCCAACTTTGATATGCTGCTCTATATTTCTTGATAAATTTTTATTTGGAATCGTTAATGGTTGAGTTTTGTTGTCTGGTGGATATTTCAGTGAAAGCGACGACGAAATTGACGAAATTGGTGATAAATCTTGTCTTGTTTCATTTTCAAATGTTGGTGATGGTTTGGGTCGATAAGCGTTATTATTGGCATAGTCTTGTGGTTCTTGTTGAAAATGAACATTTATAGACAAATTGTCGTTTCTTATTTGTTGACGCTTATCAACGGTTTTTTGCTTTGATGATTTAGAAGTGTCGCTGGAAGAATGTGAAAATCTTCTTTCATGTAAATGTGATTGATTATTTTTTAATAAATTATCTCTATTATCATTAAAATTATATTCTTTTATTGGCATAGAATATCGATACTTATTTTGTTCAATTTGTTTTTGTTCAGATTTATCCTTATAAGATCGTTGTCTTTGAACCAAAGTTGTTTTCGTTTGTGTTGCGTTAGTATGTGTAAGCGATTGATGTCTTTGAACTGTAGGTGTTGGTTTTTGTAGAATTGCATAAATATGATCATGATCCGAAGGGTTATCTTTAAAAGATGGGATAGATGAAGATTCACGTGGTGAAGAACAAGACAATGTATCATTTGTATTTTGTTTTATTGCTGATTCGTGTTCTTGTCGAATCGATTTTCCTTTTTCTTTTCCAAAGATATGTCTAGAAGTAACTATGGAATGACAAGATATATCAAATGTAATATTTAATATTTTATATCCTTTCTCCACCAGAGAATGTTTTCCAACTAAAAAAAAAAAAAAAAATTTTGATTAAATAAAGTGTAATAATATTAGTATAAAAGGATATTTATTTATTTATTTTTTTTAAAACAAAAAAATTCTTTAAATGTTCATACCATTTATAGGACCACCGTTCATTAATCTTGGCCAAATAAATTCCATTTCACCGGAAGGTCCAATACTTATTTTAGTTTTTGCCAATCCATTAAAATTTGTTTTAAAAAAGATCACCAAGTTATCGGGCCTTGCTACCAAAAACATTCCGATAGGATGTTTCCATTCTAATCGTTTTTCTTGCTGTTGTGAATCTATTTGCCAATATTTTGCCGTAGAATGAAATTCTTTTCGTAATTCAAATCCTAACGGACCGGCGTTTCCACACAAATTCTCGCTATGAGGTAATCGCAAGTATTAATTTAAGTACCTAGTTTTTTAAAAAAAAAAAAATTTTACAAAAATAAAGTAGAAAAATATGATTACTATTCTAAGTTATCTATCAACATCATCCCGATTCTTTTGTTACGAAGTGACAAATCTTCGAACATTTTCATCTCTTCAATTGGTGGTCTCTTTTTATTCATTTTTATAAAACGTTAGTAGATATTTTTATTTCTGCGGATTAAATAAAACGAACGCGTAATAATTTGTTGACTTACGTTTGATAGGAAATATAAATAAAATTTCAATTCAATCTTTGGCTTTGGTTCATCATTTCGAAGCTTTAAATTAACTTGAAAAAAAAAAAAAAAAAAAAAAAAATATTTTTTTCGATTTTTTTTTTTTTTTTAATTTTATCAACTAAATAAATAAATAAATTTCCAACGACGTATAAAGATCGCTTACTTTTATTATCGAATTCATCCGATTTATCAAAATTTTCTAAATCCATAGCTATCTCTCCTAAACGTCCATCAGGTCCTTTAATAGATGCATCCCAACATGTTATAACCAATTTATTACTTCCGGAAGTATTTAATGTATCAAGTTTAAAATGAATATGTTCATTCCATGATGATTCCATTATCGTATCTGAATTTGACATTCTACTACAGATTAGAGTAAATTTCTTGTCAATTTTTTTTTTTTGGGATTGCTACGTCACAACACAACGTAATTTTTGAAACTTACGCAGGGGATAAAGGGGATAGAGTCGTTATTTTTCGTTCGTTGTTATACTTAAATTCTAACTGTAACTTGTTGGGTTCTTTTAGTGAAAATGCTTTTATTAATTTTGCTAATTTTCTCTCCATATTTTGGTTTTTTTCAATGAAACTATTTCGTAAGATTTATCATCAAAACTTAGTTTATATCATTAGTTATTTTAATAATTAGAATAAGATAAAAAAATAAAATAAAAATACCTACCACCGAAGATCTTTTATTAGTATAGAACAAAAATTTGGAATCGTTTGGTTATCCATTTTTTTTTTTTTTATTTTTTGTTTTCGAGAAGTCCAAGTAAAACAATATTCAAAAAAAGAAAGGAAAAAAAAAGATACAAAAAAATTAATAAATAAAGAAAAGAAAAGGAAGAAATTGAAATTCTCAAAAATTTTTAGAAAAAATTTTTAGAAAGTTAGTTCCACCGCCATTATGTGTTCATTAATGAGAAATTGTGTTCAGATTTGTTATCTTTTTTTTCCCTTTCAAATCGATTAGTCCAATTGTGAACTTTCTAAATATAGGTAACTTTAACAATAAATAAACTTTCTTTTTCCTTCCAAATGAAAAACAAACTGTGGGTGATAATCCCCAAACATTTGTTGTCATACATAATAAGAAAAAACTTGTGACATGTGAGGAAAAAATTGTTAAAGGTAAATTAAAAATTTGAAGTATTTTTATAGGTTCTTTGATTCATTGTTTCAAGGCATCGTGCTATTCTCTGCGCCACTTTGCAGATTGACGCATATACACACTGTATATACAAAGGTCCTTTAAGTTTTATAACTCAACGCGAAAGAAATGACTAATGACCCTCCTTTATATCATTCTAAGGGTTAAAAATATCTAATACACTTTTTTTTTAAAGAAAAAAAAAAAAGAGACTCAAACAATGATTACCAAAAACTTTCGAAATAAAAAAGTTGTGATTTCAGATACTAGATTATCTGAAATTAAAAATCAATTTAATTTCAGTCAAAATTGACAGTTCCATTAGAAATATCAAATCACATGATTCATAAAAATTAATTGACTTTTTTGGAAACCAATTTTGGAAACAATTGTACCATCGATAAATTTTTTTTTAATTTAAATTAGTAAATTAGTGCATTTATTTTGACATTCTTTAAAAAAATTCAAGGACGAGATCAATGAAAGAGTCAATCATATATTGGTAAATTCGCTTGAATTTATCCATCTAGTGTATATGTTGTAATCCTTAGAATGACAGGATGGTACCATTGAAAAAGGCGAGCATATAATGGTATACATATTGGATACGTAAGTCGAGTAAAACAAGGATGGGAAGAAAAGAAGTTGTAATGTATGAAGATCCGTGTCAAATAATTATTTGATCTTAATTGCGGTTAACTATGTTTTTCTTCTTTCAATTGTAACATGACTCTTGTAAAGCGAAGTTGTTGGTTTCATTTTAAAGCAAGAACCAACAACATTTGGAAATTTTAGTATTGAAAGGTGGATATGAACAGTAAAGACTTCAATTTTATTAGTTCAATTCCTAACTATTATAAATGTATTTTCATTTTAGGGTGAAAAACAATCATGAATAGCAAGAACTTTCTATAAAAGAAAATGGTTCATAGGAAAAGCTAGGTAGTTTGGGTAGATTGAGTAGAGTAGATCAGCTCTGTTTTCTTTTTTAAAAAAAAAATTTCGTTTTTTATGATCCATCGACGATGTAAGTAATACCACCTTTTAATTTATATAATAATAATAATAATAACTTGTATTTCTTTACATGATAATTAATTTTTTCTTTTGTAGTTCCAAAGCTTATTTCATTCATTTGAACAGTAAATATCACGGAATTTTTGAAATTATATATATTATTTATTATTTATTATACAAAAAGGGAGGGAAGAATGATTAACAAAAATAAGCCAAAATATTTTACCTGAAAATTTATTTATTTACCAAATCAATATACTGAAATGCGTGGGTTTGACATATTTCCGTTAATAAATTAGCCATCGATAAAAATATTTCTTATCATACAGTTCGTAAATAGTTTTGGTTCTATAACGAACATGTAATGATTTAATTTAGAACCAAGCAAAGAAAAATGCTAAAATTTTTTACAAAACGAAAATATTTCCTTCACCAAAAAAAAAAAAAAAATGTAAACTATATCCAAGTAAGTTTTTGGAATACTGGATTCATTAATTAAAGGAATACTATAAATTTGCAAAAATCTTGAAATCCAAAAAAAAAAAAAAAAAAGAAATTGTTTTTGATTGGAATAAATAACTCACTGGGATAAATAATTAAAAGTCGGTAATTTTTCGCGGTTTCGGTAAAAGTGAATTCGGAGATTTTTTCAACTGCCCTCTTGAATAAACGTAGAAAGTTGCCATTTCGCGTACACCTGAATAGTAAGTGTTCGCACGAAACGAGATTGGGATAATTGACTTCCAGGAAGAAAAATTTCGAGCCTATTCATCATGTTGGATATACCTTGCTATTTTTTTGTCCTCTAGACATTACGTTATGCAAATGTTCTCGCACCAATGTCGCTTGCTTCACAATCCTTTCAAGTGCCGATTCGCCCGCATGATAATCAAAGGCTAAGACGAAGAAAGTGAAAAAATTACATTAATGATCAAAAAAAAAAAAAAAATTTCACTGATTCTTGAATTAATCAAAAAAAATGAAATGAATCATACATAGAATGGCACTATTAATTTCATTTGCCAACTTATCTCGATGTTCTTGAGCCAATAATGACCCTACTGGTGACTTTTCTGGATTTTCATATGCGATTAATGCACTCACGGAACTAAGTTCCGCGTTAAACTTTTCCGCATTAGCTCCCTTCTTTATGGGAAAACTTGTTAATACTGATTGAGCGAATAATAAAGCTTCGATCGGATTCCCAGCACGAACTGTCTCAATAAACTGTTGACATTGAAGCTTGAAACATATATCAATTGAACGCGGGGAAGTTCTAATGTCTTGTTCATCTGAAGACACAACATGGGGAAATTTATCTCGACATAATGCTAAGGCTTCATTAATACTACCAGCTATTATAAATTGGCGGATTTCTTCGTACAAAAAAAGAAAAGACAAAAAAACCTAGGTTTCTAGTTCATAGATCACACAAAATGAAATGAAATGCGCGAAAACAAATGTAAAAAAAAAAAATTTTAAATTATCCACTTACTTTTTCTTGTTTCTAAACTTTTTAGAGCAAATTCAGAATTAAAGCTCTCGCCATTTCCATTATTCGTTTGATTCTTCTTCAATACTTCAAGGAGATTCGAAGCCTTAACTTCTTTATAAATTGATTCATTGGCGGAATCAATATCCATATATTCCTCTTTATTTGAATCAACCATTTCGCAATCCCCATCTTCGTCTACTTCAATAGCATCAATAGGGACGAGTGAATTATTATCGTTACGAACGGTGCCACTTGCTGAGCCATTCTGAGATCCGTTTGAGCTAAGTTCAATGCTAGGTTCACCTACATTCAAAGCATCTTTAAAAAAAACTTTGGCGGTTTCGCCATAACAATTATGTATGAGGTAGTCTAGTACCAACTGACGAACGACAGAGTCGTCGGGTTCTTCATTGTTTTGGTAAACTTCTGGACAAGGCTCCATTATAAAGAAAGATAATGATCATTAAAACTTCAAAAATGAAAAAAACTTTGACTAAAATTAATTAATTATTTATTAATTGGGCGGTGTTAACATTTAAAACTAACACGCTTTATATATATATTCTGATAGGAAGACTCGTGTCATTCTATATGTAGATGTTTGTTTAACATAAAAAGGGGCAGGATCGCAGGGGAACAACGATGATCCACTCCAATTATCGATAGTCAAAATTTTGATTGCATAATTCGCATAAATCACGAAATTTAATATCAATTTTTTATAAAAGAAAATGTCTTCTCAAGAAAAGACTTTAAATTCTGATATAACACACGTTATTACTCTAACTCCTGAACAAATTAAGCGTATAGAAAACAATCGATTGAAAGCACTGGCACTAAGGGAAAAGCAGAAACAGCAAGAACATAATAATTCAACTTCCAGAACCGAACAAAAGGACATTCAAGGAACCACCACAAATAATGAAGATAACACTGAAGAAAAAAAATTACGTCCCATGAAAAAATTTCAAAACTATGCAGAATATGACTTTTCAAAAATGAAAGATACTCGTGGAGGTTTTCTTTTGGAGGAAGAAAATGAAAATTCTAAAAAACGAAAGTGGGAACCTCCCGAACCTGAATTTGATGCTTTAGAACCATGTAACAAAACTATTGAAAAACGAAATCTTTTTAAATACATGATGATTAATTAAGTTTTTCATTTTTATTTTGTAGCCATAAGCATTGATCCAGCTGAAAATCCAAAATGTAAAGAATGCCATTCGTTAGAATTAGATAACTTGTTTCGTAAGACTTTTAAAGTCAACGTATGTAAGAAATGTAAGGAGAAATATCCGGAAAAATATAGCTTAATAACCAAGACTGAGGCAAAGGAGGTAAATTTTCATCAAAACTTCTTTTAAATATATCGATTTACTAATTTTTTTTTTTAAAAAAATTCAGGATTATCTATTAACGGATGGTATGTATTTTTTTTTTATTATTATTGATTTCCTTTTTATTATTATTATTATTGATTCCAAAAGAAAACTCTTTGCTGTTTATAATCATTTAGCTGAATTGAAAGATGTTGAGGTTTTACCACATTTATCTAAACCAAATCCACACAAGGCAACCTGGAATAATATGATGTTGTTCCTCAGAGAACAGGTCGAGGAATTCGCGTTCAAAAAATGGGGAGGTGAGGAAGGGCTCGACCAAGAATATGAGAGGAGAGAAGATATCAAAAAGAAACGGAAGGATAAAAAATTCAAAACGAAACTGGCGGGCAAGTAACTGTGTAAATTTATATTAATATTTATTAAATAACGCCATAAATTAATAAAGCTGTTTTCTATAGATCTCCGAAGACGCACTAGAACAGAAATTTTAGAGAAAAACAGACGAAAGGAACATAAGCACGAATTTGGGGAGGTTGAAGAAGATACAGAAACTGGAGCAACTACCCAATGCTGTAAAACTTGTGGATTGCGAATTGAAATTGATGTTTTTTAAAAGAAGTACATTGTATTCCAATACAGTTAATCATCAAGTTGATCAGAAATTAAGGATTAAAATAATTAATCATCGTCAGTTTCGTCCTCATCACTTAAGGCAACAGTTGCCGGGTTTCTAATTATTTTTTGTGTAGAATAATCATCTTTTTTCACGGCACTTTTGTTGGAATCCTCAATAACGCCAATAGAAATTAGATAATTTTCTAGGGCTATAAATATAAAAAATGTTAACTCAAAGGCAAAGATTCGGTATTGACAAATAAAGAAATACCTTGAGGAGTCACATTCATTCCTCCTAATTGAGATATGCCCACAAGCTGTACTTTAAGGTCACCATAACCATATATTAACAGAGTGGGTAAATTCCTATCTGGATAATTTGGTATACATTGATCTCCAATTATTTTTACGAATTTAATTGCTTTGTATTTTTCTGCAAGTGTTGATAAATGCCTGTTCATTAGTTTACATTCTGGAATTCTATAAAATTATTAATATATTAACAATAAAATCAAAAGATTTCTCATAATATTTATTACACATACGGTTCGTTGAACAAATGTACGACCACCCAAACTTCTTTACTTGCTTCCGTTACTTCTTTTATAAAGTCGGGTTTTGATATATGAATTACCTGACCAAACTTTTCACCTGATGCTTCGACTTTCATCTCCGCTATTCTCTTTTGTCTATATGATCAAAAACTGTAAATTAATTTTTAAAAAGTCAAACGTTCCAATAAAAATAAGAATCTCACCGATATTCCATTAATACTCGATCATCCTCTTCATCTTCCAATTCGTCCAATTCATCCAATGTTTTATCTTCCAAATGTTTATCCTGATTTTCACGAATAACTTTATCCATTTCTTCAAATATTTCTTCTTCTGTAGGTCCTTCTATTGGAGGAAGGATACCGCGATCTCGAAGAATATCGTTCCTATAACATATTAATTCTTTAATTCAATCTCTTTTTTTAAAAGAATTTGTTTTTAATTACCATTCAGTATCTGCGTTTGGATCGTCCATGATTAAATTGATTTTATGCAAAAAATATGAATTTTCACATCTTTATATACAACGAATTGATGATCATCCCTTTTTAATTATGATCCATTTATGGAAATTTTTAAATTAGTATTATTATAAATAATCACAAAAATGTTGACATCTGACATCAATGCTCAACAAACTAAAGATGTTAAAAACCAAGCTCTAATATGACGTAAGAAACTTCAAAATAAAATAATAATAATAATATAAAGAAGTAGCAACCTTTTTCCTTATCGATATAGTTAGGGACGAACTTGTCGGACAACAAAAAAGTTATTAAGGAGGAAAGACACCCGGGTTCGATAATTTCATCAAGTGAAAAATTCGTTGAACAGGCTTATAAATTTATACCTCCATGCAAAATATTCGTCGAGCGAAGGGAACAATTGTCGGAACTCAAAAATTGCTCAATAAGTCTGTCCCATTACATTAAAAAATAATGGGAAATGTTGAGAGAAACTTTCGTGAAGTTTGTTCAAATGAACAGTGAATATCGAAATTATGAATCGGTACTCAACACGTTAATCGATAAACGGAAAGTAGTCCCCTAAAAGACGATCAAGACCTTTGCGAAATGCTCCGATCATTTAGATCAAAAAAAAAAAGATTCAAGTCTACTTTGTTCATAGAGGTCCCATCAAAACGTATTCTCGGATTGATTCTCGGCTAAATTTGTCAACTATAATGCCTTAGCGGCGAAACGGAAGATTCTAAATTGACGGTGTTCCCAGTGAAAAGCTTTAAACTCTTATAATGGAGTTAAAGTCCCGTCTTGACAACACCCTACCAATTTACTGTCAATCGAAGCCACCAAATCAATCTACGTTTATTCGTACCTGTTGCTAGAGCAACAATTTCATTTTCCGGTCCAAATGGATACGATCCTGATGACTTTCTTGCGCTAAACAGCAAAAAGATGATTTTGTCAAAAGCGTTGTCCAATGTGCGATCCAGTTCGAGTATTCCTTGTTGAATCGTATGGTTATTGTAAATATTAACACAATTCATTTGGACGAATATTGTTCGTTGAATCCTGTTTTATAAAACGTATGGCAACGAATTGTCGAGCTCGAGACTGAGAAAATTTGAAGATTCATAACTGTGTTTCTTTCTAAAATTAAACTCCTTCCGTCAACAAGAACTTAGTATAATCGAAACCCGCTTACACGCGACAAAAACTTCTAGAGCTTTGAATTGAATAATCCTAGGTTACTGACGTAGCAACTTTTAAATTTAAACATGATAACAAAAATAAATAAATAAAACATGGTTGTCGATAAAGTATAAATTGATTTTATTTTCGCGCAAAGTACAATCAACGAGTTCATATTAACAATTCTAAACGTTAATTCCAGACAAACTCATTATACGTTGAATACACTGTGGAACTCGGTAATGTCAAACACTCCCTTTTTAGGGCATACCACCATATACGCACGACCAACATCTGGATTGCCTTGAGTATGTCTCCACCATTGAGCGGTGTTAGTTGTAAGTTGGCTGATGCATGATTGTAAGTTTTGGTGAGCCTCACCATTCGGAGTTTTGACAAAGGAAAAGATGGAATCAGATGGTGTACCATTTGGCGGAAATGGTACACATCCTGGTTGTCCACGAATTACTAATAAAGAAAACAAATTAGAAAGAACCCTCAAAAAATTAATGATAAATACAAATAACCTTGAAAATTTATAAACATACATGCAGAAATTGTGTTTATAGCGTTAATTCCATGTAGGTTATTTCTATGGACTAACCCATCCGGATTCCATTCTATGATTAATAAAGGGTCTTCGTATAATTCGTTGCTTTGCACGTTAGGATTGGTATTTTTTCGAAGGGTTCTCACTCTTTCTTCATTTAACCTTTCGTCACCAAAACCTACAAGACAGCAATAATATTGTAGACAAAAGTTGTAATTAGTATAAACGTAAATTCTTGCTAGTCCAAAAAATAATATTTCTCACCGGTCGATGATTTTTTAGAAAAAATTTGCTTGACAGTTCTTGTAAAATTCATTTTTTTTTTTTTTTTTTTTTTTGCGTATTTTTAAATTAAACATGGTTGCTTTTCATTTATATATCTTTTTTTTATTATTATTTTAAATAAAATGATGTCAAAAAAAAAAATAATAATTTATCAAAATTTATTGATTAACGCAATCTTTTGGTCGAGTCTATCCTAATGATGTTCTTATAAGAGAAAGTTCTGAACGAATTTAAGTGTGAAGATTTTGATTGGGGTTGCATTAGACCTTATTTGCATCACTGTGATAAAACTCAGCGGGATGATTTATTTCTGACGTTGAATGTCTCAATGATTAGAGGTGAATAGAAAATTTATTTCACTTTATAAAGCCGAATTCATGTATTTTGACTTTTTCCTGTATCAATAAAGAAATCCTTACTAATGTATAATTTTCGAATGCACGGAATATTTTTAGTATCAAATGATAACCGATATTTAGTAAAGTCTTTGCCTACTTAAATAAAGAGCATATTCAATGCACCTTACAAAAAAGTAATGCATTTGAGATATTAATGCAAATTGAGTTTTGTTCATCTCAGGAAATTTTTTTTTTTTTTTTTTATTCTTCGAGTTATGACTGATATTTTTTTTTCCAATTAATAAAAAGTTTTATTAAACTTAAATTTATGAATGGAGGAAAATCATATCAACTGCCACTTTGAGTGAGGTATTGAAATAAAGAAACAATTTGTGGAACTCAAAAACTGCTAAAAATTAAAAATAATGGGAAAGTTGAGAGAGACTTCGTGAAATTGTTCAAATGAACGATGAATATCGAGCTCATTGAAATGATGAAACGGTACTCAACACGTTAAATGAAGACCTTTGCGAAATGTTCCGACCATTTATATCAAAAAAAAAAAAAAAAATTCAAGTCTACTTTGTTCATAGAGATCCCATCAAAAAGCATTCTCGGATTGATTCTCGACTAAATTTGTCAACTTTACAGCCTCAGTTAGATTTTTTTCGTGAGGAACGTTGAAAAGCTTTAAAATCTTATGATGGAGTTCGAATCCCGTTTTGACAACACCACATCAATTTACTGTCAATCGAAGCAACTAAATCAATTCGTACGTGTTGTTAGAGTGAACATTTTCATTTCCGGTCTGAATGGACATGATGATTTCGAGCCATCCTTGTCAAATCGTATGTTTAATGTAAGACGAACATTTGTTCGCTGAAATTAAATGAATACTGTTATATAAACTAGAGACTGAGAAAATTGAAGATGAAAACATTTCATCACAGAGTTTCTTTCTAACATTAAATTTCCTCAATTTCTTAATGGTGAAAACCGATCTCTTTGTCATCAAGAACTTAGTATAAAGCGAACCCACTTTATACATTCGAAGTATTGACATGGCGTACGCGACAAAATTCCCATTTGGTTTGAACCAAATATTCCTGGATTATTGACGCAACAATCTTTAGACTTAAACACGATAACAAAAAAAAAATCAAAAAATGATTTTCGATAAAGTATAATTTTATTTTCGCGCAAGGTACAAGCAAATTTTTAATCAATGAGTTCATATTAACAAATTCAACGTTAATTCCAGACTCAACTCATTATAAGTTGAACACATTGAGGAACTCGACAATGTCAAGTTCTCCCTTTTTAGGGCATCTCACCATATACGCACGACCAACATCAGGATTTCCTTGAGAATGTCTCCACCACTGCATGGTGCTAGTTGTAAGTTGGCTGATGCATGAATGTAAGTTTTGGTGAGCCCCACCATTCGGAGTCCTGACAAAGGAAAAGGCGGAATCAGATGGTGTGCCTTTTGGAAATGGTACACATCCTGGTTGGTCACGAATTACTAAAAAAAAAACCAAATTAGAAAGAACCTCAAAAAATTAATGATAAATACAAATAACCTTGATAATTTATAACATACATGCAACAAGTGCGTTTATAGCGTTAATTCCATGTAGGTTATTTCTATGGACTAACCCAGCCGAATTCCATTCTATGATTAATAAAGAGTCTTCGTATAATTCGTCGTTTTGAACGTTAGGGTCAGTTTTTTTCCGAAGAGCCCTCACTTCTTTTGCCCATTGGGAAATTAATTTCCTGTTTTCTTCATTAAATCTTTTGTCAAAATCTACAGGACAGCAATCATATCGTAGACAAAAGTTGTAATTAGTATAAAATAAATGCCTGCTATGTCCAAAAAATATTTCTCACCGGCGGATGATTTTCTAGAGAATATTTGCTTGAAGGTTTTTGAAAAACTCATTTTTTTTTTTTTGCGTAATTTTTTAAACTATTAAAGTGGTTGGTTTTTATTTATATATCTCAAAATTTTTTTTTTTTTTTTTTTTTTAAAAAAAAAAAATGATATCAAAAAAAAGAAAAGTAATAATAATAAAAAAATAATTTATCAAACTTTTATAGATTAACTGACGCAAATTTTCGTGTGAGAAAAATTACGAGTCTATTTGAAGAAAATTCTAGTATGATGGGGCTGTGCTTTTTGCAGGGAAACAACTTCAAGGAGATAAACTCAGCGGGGTAATCTTAGTGATTATTCATGACTCAATGATTAGAAAAAATGAGACCGGATTATGGAGTGAACATTTCACTTTGTAAAGCCGAATCATGTATTTTTATTTTTTTCCTGAATTCCTTATAATTAATGTATCAGGAATAATTTTTTCGAATGCACGGAATTTTTTAGTATCTAATGATAACGAAATTTAGTAAAGTCTTTCGCCTAATTAAAATAAAGAGCATATTCATGCACCTTATAAAAAAGTAATGCATTTGAGATATTAATTCGAAAATTGTATTTTGTTCATCTCTGGGAAACCTTTATTTTTATTTTTTTTATTATTCGAGCTGAGACTGATATTTTTTCCAGTTTAATAAAAAGTCGGAAGGAATTCTTCATATATTTGGACATTTTTTTGTTAAACTTAATTATTAATGGAGGAAAATCGTGCCAACTGCCACTTTGAGTGAGGTATTGAAATTAAGGGGACAATTTGTGGAACTCAAAAACTGCAAAATCAAAAATAATGGGAAGGTTGAGAGAGACTTCGTGAAATTGTTAAAATGAACGATGAATATCGAGCTCATTTAAAATGATGAAGCGGTACTTAACACGTTAAACGAAGACCTTTGCGAAATGTTCCGACCATTTATCAAAAAAAATAAATAAATAAATAAAAATAGAGATCCTATCAAAAAGCATTATCAGACTTAGCTGACGGTGTTTCCAGATTTTTTTCGTGTGGTACGTTGAAAGGCTTTAAAATCTTATGATGGAGTTAAAATCCCGTTTTGACAACACCCCATCAATTTACTGTCAATCGAAGCAACTAAATCAATTCGTACCTGTTAGAGTGAACATTTTCATTTCCGGTCCGAATGGACATGATCCTGTTGATTTCTCAAAAATGGGTTAGGCTAAGATGATTTGTCAAAGGCGTTGCCCAATGTGAGATCCAGTTCGAGCCATCATTGTCAAATCGTATGGTTATTGTAAGACGAACATTTGTTCGCTGAAAATTAAATGAATCCTGTTATAAACGCAAGGTAACGAATTACTAAACTAGAAACAGAAAATTGAAGATTCATCACTGTGTTTTTTTATAAAATTAAACTTCCTTCTGTCAACAAAAACTTAGTATATCCTAGGTTACTGACGTAGCAACTTTTAAATTTAAACATGATAACAAAAATAAATAAATAAATAAATAAAACATGGTTGTCGATAAAGTATAAATTGATTTTATTTTCGCGCAAAGTATAAGCAAATTTTAATCAACGAGTTCATATTAACAAATTCTAAATATTAATTCCAGACTCAACTCATTATACGTTGAACACATTGTTGAACTCAGAAATTACGAATTCTCCCTTTTTATGGCATCCCACCATATACACGTGATCAACATCAGGATTGCCTTGAGTATGTCTCCACCATTGAGCGGTGCTAGTTGTAAGTTGGCTGATGCATGAATATAAGTTTTGGTGAGCCTCACCATTCGGAGTTCTGACAAAGGAAAAGGCGGAATCAGATGATGTGCCATTTGGAAATGGTATACATCCTGGTTGGTCACGAATTACTAAAAAAAAAACCAAATTAGAAAGAATCCTCAAAAAATTGATGATAAATACAAATAACCTTGATAATTTATAAACATACATGCAGAAAGTATGTTTATAGCGTTAATTCCATGTTGGTTATTTCTATAGACTAACCCAGCCAGGTTCCATTTTATGATTAATAAAGAGTCTTCATATAATTCGTCGTTTTGAACGTTAGGGTCAGGTTTTTTCGAAGAGCCCTCACTTCTTTTGTCCATTGGGAAATTAATTTTCTGTTTTCTTCAATAAATCTTTCATCAAAATCTACAGGATAGCAATCATATTGTAGAAAAAAATTGTAATTAGTATAAAATAAATGCCTGCTATGTCCAAAAATTAATATTTCTCACTGGCAGATGATTTTCTAGGAAATATTTGCTTTAAGGTTCTCATAAAATACATTTTTTTTTGCGTAATTTTTTAAACTATTAAACATGGTTGTTTTTATTTATATATCTTAAAATTTTGTATTTTTTTTTCTTAAAAAAAAAATGATATCAAAAAAAAGAAAGTAATAATAATAAAAAATAAATTTATCAAACTTTATAGATTAACTAACGTAAGAAAAATTACAAGTTTATTAAAGAAAATTTTAGTAAGATTTGAATTGTGCTTTTTGCAGAGAAACAAAACTCAGCAGGGTTAATCTTAGTGATTTATTCATATCTCAATGATTAGAAAAATGAGATCAGATTATGGAATAAACATTTATTTCACTTTGTATGCTGAATTATGTATTTTTATTTTTTTTCTGAATTTCTTATAATTAATATATCAGGAATAATTTTTTCGAATATACAAAATATTTTTAGTATCTAATGATAATGAAATTTAATAAAGTCTTCGCCTAATTAAAATAAAGAACATATTCATGTGTCTTATAAAAAAGTAATAGCATTTGAGATATAATTTGAAAATTGCGTTTTGTTCATCTCTGAACAACTTTATTTTATTTTTTTATTCTTCAAGTTGAGATTGATATTTTTTTCCAGTTTAATAAAAGTCAAAAGGATTTCTTCATATATTTGGACATTTTTTGTTAAACTTAATTATGAATGAAGGAAAATCATGTTAACTGCCATTTTGAGTGAGATATTAAATTAAGAGAACAATTTGTAAAACTCAAAAACTGCAAAATCAAAAATAATGAAAAGGTTGAAAGAGACTTTGTGAAATAGTTTAAATGAACAATGAATATTGAGCTCATTTAAAATGATGAAGCGGTACTCAATACATTAAACAAAGATCTTTACAAAATGTTCTGACTATTTATCAAAAAAATAAACATAGAGATCCTATCAAAAAGCATTATCAGATTGATTCTCAGCTAAATTTGTTAACTTTATAGCTTTAGCTAACAGTGTTTTCAGATTTTTTATGTGATACGTTAAATCATCATAAGAAGCTTTTAAAATCTTAAGTATTAAAATCCTGTGATAATACCTAATAGCTAAAACAACACACATTTATTCATACCTGTTATTAGACATTTTTGATCTGATTAGATACAGTCCTGTTACTTTTCTCAATTAACTAGCAAAATGGGTAATAAGTTAAGAAATATGATTTTGTTAAGCGTTACCAATGTGCAATCCAGTTTTATTAATTGTATAGTTATTGTAAATATTAATACAATTTATTTGGACGAACATTGCTCGCCAAATTCTGTTTTATAAAACATAAGGCAATAAATTTCTAAGTTTGAGAAAAATTAAAGATTCATCACCATATTTCTTTCTAACATTAAATTTCTTAACTTCCTAATAGTGAAAAAGCTCTCTTCTTCTAACAAAAACTTAGTATAACTGATTTTATATATTTATACATTCTAAGACATATATGAAAAATGTTCTAAAACTTTGAATTAAATAATCATGAGTTAATGATATAGCAACTTTTAGATTTATATTTTCAAGAAAAGTACAAACAATTCTTAATAATGAATAAATTCTAAACGTTAACTTCAGACTCATTATAAATTGAATATAATAGTATACTTGATAATATCAAATTTTCCTTTTTTAAAGCATCTCATCATATACATACAACTAATGTCTAAAATGTCTTAAAAATGCCTAAACCATTAAGTGGTATTAGTTAAAAGTTGATTGATGCATGTTATTAAGTTTTGGTGAGCTTTCAATTAGAGTCTTAACAAAAAAAAGACAGAATCAGATGGTATACTATTTAATAGCAATGGTAAGCATCCTGTTATTCACAGGTTATTAATAAAATAAAACTCAAATTAGAAAAATCCTCAAAAATTAATTATAATTACAAATAATAATAATTTATAAATATATATATAACAAGTATGTTTAAAGCGTTAATTCTGATCTAATTACTTTTATGGTCTAATCCATTCTATAATTAATAAAGAGTCTTTGTATAATTCATCATTTTACGTGTTAGAATCTTTTTTTTTGAAGAGTCCTCACTCCTTTTGCCAATTGGCAATTAATTTCCTATTTTTTCACTAAATCTTTTGTCACCAAAGTCTACAAGACAACAATCATATTATAGGTAAAAGTTATAATTAATATAAATAAATGCTTGCTATATCCAAAAATAATATTTCTCACCAGTGGAAAATTTTTTAAAAAAAATCGAAGGTTCTTGAAGTTAAATAATAAACCTTATAGAAATATCAATAATAATAATAATAAATATAATTTAGGATTTATAAAACTTTTTATTAAATAAAAGATTTTCTTTGAACTGATATACTTAAACAAATTTTAAATTACACAAATTTATAATGTAAAATTATTTAATAAATATAAATCTACCGTATTACTATACATATAAATTAAACTATTTTATAACTATTAATAATCAAAAATACATATAATTATTACATTTTTTACATTTTTCATTTATTTTATCCCTTAGATTGTCTAGCAGGCAAATTTTGTTTACAAAGTAAAATATATAATTATTATATGAAAAAATATAGTTTAGAATATATTTTATTAAATTTATTAGAAGATATTTTATTAAATTAAAAAGTTTTTTTTAAAATAACTCAATTTTAAAATTAAGTTTTTAAAGATTTCTTTAAAGTTTATATATATAAATCAATTGAATTACTTCACTACTAATAAAAATCATAAAATTTCTTAATAAATTATAAATTTGTAATAATTAAAATTATCTTTTATGATAAATTTTTAATATATATTATAATTATTGTTATAAAAGAAAAATTTTTATAAAATTGTCAAAGTTTAATGATAAAAGTTTTTAAAATTACAAATTTTAATTTATAAATAATTAGATTTATTTTGTAATTAAAAAAATAAATTTATTATTTATTAAATATCTAACAGGTAAATTTGCTTGTAAATTTAAAAAAAAGTATTAATTTTTTCATAAGATATTAAATATTAATTTTAGTAATACTACAATTTTAAATATAAATGAAAAAAAATTGTTAAAAATAAAAATTTTTATTTGTTTGATTATTAATTTAATTTTTGATATTTATTTATTCAGAAAGTGGTCATATTATATAAATCCCTTTATCTGAATTTTTAACAAATTTAACAAAAAAAATTTTTTTCTGAAATGTAATAGAGGTAATACAATACAAAGAAAAATGCTATATATACTTATATTTATGAATTTCAGATTTAAAAAATAATATTATACCATAGAGCCTAATCTTTGAAATGCAAAAAATAAACAACTTAACGTGAATAGTAATATCATTACCGAATTTTATTCTACCCTTAAAGTGTTTGTCCATTTCACATATAATCTACAAGAAAAAATTCTAGGGATGTTAAAAAGTCCTATGTGACTAGGTCTTAAACAGTCCTACAAAATCCGATCCAGTTCAAGTCCTTTGAACTATAGGACTGTAGTCCTATAGAAATTAGGATTTGTGGTTCTAGAACTGCAATCCTATAGAAATTAGAACTTGCAGTCCTAGAACTGCGATCCTATAGAAATTAGAATTTGCAGTCCTAAGACTGCGGTCCTATAGAAAAATAATTGTTCAAATCGAATGATTCGTCATCGTTCTTCTTAAATAATTTTTTTATTGTTCAAGTTAAAAGATTTATCATCGTTCTTTTTAAACAATTTTTTTTATCATTTAAGTTGAAAGATTCATCATCGTTCTTTTTGAACAATATTTTTATCATTAAAGTCGAATGATTCTTCATTATTCTTCTTAAACAATTTTTTTATCATTAAAGTCGAACAATTCCTCATCGTTCTTCTTAAACAATTTTTTTATCGTTAAAGTCAAACAATTCCTCATCGTTTTTTTGAATGATTTCTTTTATTGTTCAAGTCAAACGATTCCTTATCGTTCTACTAGAATAATTTCTTTTATCATTTAAGTTGAACGATTCATAATCGTTCTTCTTGAATGATTATTTTTTTGTTTATTTAAGTCAAACGATAAATTTTCTTCTTGTAAAAAAAAAAAGAATTAATCACTTTATATTTATTTACTAATAGTAATATTATATTTGATGTCTATTTCAGCATAAAAATAACATTTATAGCATTATAATTTTTAGTTAATATAATAAAAATTTTATTTTTTTAAATATAAATAATAAATATAAAAAAGATAAAGTATATAATATAAATATAAAAAAAAAACTATATATATAATAAATATTAACTGTCTATATACATATATATAAAATATATAAATTTAAAATTTTGTAAATTTATCAATCCAACTTTTCAAGCATAATGATGCTTTATTTTTTTTTAGATCTAATCTGTTTCTTATTTGGCTAATTATATTTTTAGCCAAACTAGAAGCTTATTCACTTGGTACACTTGTTGCTTGTATAGATAAATAATCTTTTGCCATATATATAAATGCAGAATATTTTGGATTTTGTTCTCTAGCTTTATACCAAGTTAAAGAATCAATATCCTCTTCAGGTAAATTTAAATAAGTTTCTAATATATTATTATTATTATTATTATTTTGTAATGTTTTTTAACCTTTTTCTAAAATAATTTCTTGAAGAGGTATCTTCATTAACTAAAGCTTCTAAAGAAATATTAGTTATAATTATATTATGTTCATACTTTTTTTTAAAAGATTCTTTTACATTATTTATATCTATTTCATCAAAAGTTGATAATTTATGAGATGGATCAATTATTGAAGATATTTTTAAACTTTCTTTAAGATAATTCTAGTTTTCATATAATTTGTTATTTATTGCAATTGCAATAAGAGATA